CCGCCCCCGCCGTGCTCATTGGCCCCCCCCGCCTCACGCGCACCGCCCATTGGACACCGCCTGCGCCAATCCGCCCCTTGCCTACCTCAGGTTGCCGGAGCTCAGCGCCAACCGTCACGGCCCGGCGCAGGGAGGAGGACAGCTATTGGCTGTAAGTCCAGGGGCGCTTCGATGATTGGCTGGCAGGGAGCCAACCGGTATTCGGAGTGGAACCTTGACTGCGGAAACGCTGCGGAGCCGGGGAGCCGGCGCCGGACGTAAGACCGCTGCTTATTGGGCAGTTCAGTGGGCAGCTCGCTCATTGGAGGCGCGTGGTCAGCTTAGGTGACGGAGACCCTTCATCGAATGACCCTCAATCGGGCAGGCTATTGATTGGCTGGCTTCTCTCTCGTCGTGCAGGCGGGGCTCTCCGCAGGAGCCCGGTAGGGGTGGGGTGCTGCTCCCCTTTCGGAGGCAGTTACGTCTTCACCTTCGCTTGGGCTGGGCCGGGCGTTGTCCTTCCCACTGGACATTCTCCGCACGCAGTGTCAGCGTGCGGACAGACTACGACCATTCCCGAGAGCCACTTCGGAACTAACTCCTTCCTCACAAGCCTTGCGTTGTCATTTCCAAAAATGCTTTCTTTCCCTGCGGTCTTGGTGGTTTTGTGAACCAGTAACTTCGAGGCAGTGGAATTAGGGTCCTTAGTTGGTCATCATCATTATTATTAGGTTATTGTTATCTTTGATTGAGGTGTAATGTGTAATAAATTGCATAAATCATAAGTATGCAGATTGATGGGGTTTTTACATACCTAGACACCTGTGTAAACACAACCCAGATCAAGATTCAGAATATTCCCATCACTTCAGCTTCCCTCACACCACTATCCAGCCAATAGCGGAGACCCCTCCACCAGCCTCTTTTCTGACTACTATCACCATGAAGTCATGGCCTCCTTAGCCTGTTCTGGACCATTTTAAAAAGAAGATCTTACTGTGTGTATTCTTCTGGCTCTTGCTTCTTTGGATCAACATAATGTCTGTGAAATGCTTCCTTCTTAGTGTTTTTGTTTCGCTTTAGCTGTGTCAACTTAAGAAAACATTCAAACCTGTGAAGAACTTGTGTGAGTTTATTTGAGCCAAACTGTCATCAATTGCCGGGAGCAAAATCTCAACGGATTGAGATAATGCTCTGGAGAATGGCAGTTTTGCACCTTATTTTATGCATTACAATCAAAAGAGGAGATGTATGTGGGTGACATGAAATCCATTGGTAGTAGATTAGGGAGGTGGGAGAAAGCTGGGGAAGGGGGCGGAACCTCTGGGATTGGATAAAAAGTAAAATGACAGACACATACTTCTTTTACATACAGGTGGGTAAAGGATAGTTAACAGTCAACAATAAACTCAGTAACAATGAGGGGATTTATGGTCTTGGTCTCCACAGAGTGGTGCCTGTGCTTTGAGGGGTCCAGAAAAAGGAAAATTACTTGGACATTCCAAAGATAAGTTATCACAGATGCAAAAAGACAATGACAGGCTCAATTAGGGTAAAGATTGACCTTTGTCAGCAAAGATGCTGGCCTAGGACATGACTACCCACCACACACTTTTTTAGCTAAAAAGTTTTAATTTCAGGCTACCATAGATACAATTTTATGTGTATTTATCACAAAGTAACTTTTGTGGTTACTTTAGGTCTCTGAGTTTGCAAGGCCGCCATGCAGGCCTTCCCTGAGCTAGTCAGGTTAGCATATGGCCGCTTTTTATCCGGAGTTGTCAGGTGGAATATTGTACGAATATACCCCTGTTGATCTCTTCTCCAGTTGATGGACATTTGGGTTGTTTCCACTTTGGGACTTGTTATACAAAGTGCTGAGGTCCCAGAAAACCTTAGTATATTGTTTGTGAATTCCAAAGAAATAACTCAGAGGACTGATGGTGAAAGACATGGGTTTATTAGGACTTAACGTGTATACCAGTGGCGAGACCAACCAGTGAAGTTTGCCACCACACTGGCTGCCACCTGTGAAGTTGTCCCACTAAGTCCCATCTGGCCTGCAGACAGGCCGCACTGGGAGTGGTCGGCTGGTGCTATTGTTTTGCTGCTACCCAGACTTTCCCAACACAAGGTTTTATGGAGTACAAAAAACAGAGAAAAACAGGGCACACAGGGCGAGAGGGATGTGCCCGCACATAAGCTATGTGAGATCAAAACACTAGCTATTTACAATCCTGGCTCACATACAGAAGCAGTTTCTCTTTGGCATTTCTTCTGGCCAAGGTCTCACAGTCCACTTATAGGTGGTCATCACTATATTTCCAATAGGGTGGGAAGGAGAGTTGGAACATGGGAAGCGGCCCAGGTTCCCATTTACCATTCAAGGTGGAAACAAACCAAATGTACTGAATGGATAAATAAATTGTGATGTATCCATATAATTATTCAGTCATAAAAATGAATCAAGTACTGATACATACAACAACCCGGATGTGTTGGAGGTGGCGAGAATGGCACCAGGTGTTAGACCGGTGGGGTCAGACTGTACCTGGGTTCAGCAACCTTGGTACTTGAGTTCTGGCTAGGAAAGAATTCAGAGCCCAAACTCAAACTATGAGAGAACATTTATTTAGAAAATCACAGAGGTGGAAGAAGTGAGTGGCAGAAGAAATGGGCTCAGGAGGTAACATGCTTTGGGGGGAGAGGGAAGAGGCATGGGAGGGGAAAGGTGGAGGGTATGCTCAGGGGAGAGAGAGCAAGCTGGGTCCTCCACCCTAAGGGCTTTTAAGGGCGCGGGTTTTAGGGGCAATACCAGGGGAGGTCCCAATAGAATACTCATCAACTTTACAGGTGTATCGTTTCAGGGTCAGGGTTTCCACGGATTGGCAGGTGCCAGGGCAGGGGGTCATCAGTCAGTGCAGCTGGTCCTGAGGTCAGCTGCCAGGTTTTGTTGCTTTTCTGTAGCTGAAATACAACTGAAGCCTAGACGTTATCCCCCGGGGTTAATGCTTAACGGCTATTCTCCAGTCCCCTTGTTCACACCCCAACCCCCAGCTCCATGACTAGCAACGTGCCAGGGGAGGCAAGGTCAGGGGAGGGTCCGAACACTGTGACCAGTGATATGGAAGGTCGGAGGGTTTAAACTGCATGATCAGCAGTATGCTAGGGGAGGAAAGGTTACCTTGAGGGCAAGGTCCTTGTTTCCCGGGCTTTGTCTGTTGCCTGGCACCCAGGGCTTCCTGCCCTGGTGACTGCCTGTACCTAGCCCTTGCTCTGCTCATGTCTGTCTTACTGCTTACCACAGATGAATTTTGAAAACATTGTGTTAGGCAAAAGAAGCCAGAGGATGCCCAGCCAGAGTGGCTCAGTGGTTGTGTGTTGACCTATGAACCAGGAGGTCATGGTTTGATTCCCGGTCAGGGCACATGCCCGGGTTGCTGGCTCCATCCCCAGTGGGGGGTGTGCAGGAGGCAGCTGATTGGTGATTCTCTCTCATCATTAATGTTTCTCTCTCTCCCTTCTTCTTGGAGATCAATAAAAGAAATAATTAAAAAAAAAAGCCAGAGACAAAAGACCACATGTGTAATTTTATTTATATAAAACTAGAGGCCCAGTGCACAACATTCATTCACTGGAGGGGGTGGGGGGGGGAGCAGATCCCTCAGTCTGGCCTGCGCCTTTTAGTAGTCCAGGAGCCCTTGGGGGATATCCACAGTCGGATATCCTTAGCACTGCCACGGAGGCAGGAGAGGCTCCCTGCCACCTCTGCTGTGCTCACCAGCCATCAGCCCAACTTGTGGCTAAGGGGTGGGCAAACTTTTTGTTGTGGCTAAGGGGTGGGCAAACTTTTTGACTCGAGGGCCACAATGGGTTCTTAAATTGGACCGGAGGGCCGGAACAAAAGCATGGATGGAGTGTTTGTGTGAACTAATATAAATTCAAAGTAAACATCATTACATAAAAGGGTACGGTCTTTTTTATTTTTAGTTTTATTCATTTCAAACGGGCCGGATCCAGCCCGCGCGCCGTAGTTTGCCCCCGGCTGAGCTAGTCCCACCCACCCACTCCAGCCTTCCCTCTGAGATTCAGGAGCTGTG